ACGCGAGTAATGAAATCCAACGTTCTGTTACGGCTCGAAGTATTTGCTAACAACTGATGCAGTATTTGATGTAAATGGCGCTGGAATCAATTTTAAACTACAGGCAAGAATAACCACAAACTTTCTCAGTGCGATCTGCGGAGTTTTCAAGGCCATTCTATATGAAGTTTATGCCGCATGACCATTTTAAAAAATCATTAGCTAGCTACCAAGATTATAGATTATAATCTATCTTGACAGTATCTTATCTCAAAATTTCTGGATATATATGCCGTACGTTTAGTTCCTGTTGCCTTGCTTATAACATTGAAATGAGATGTTTAGAATGGATTCTATAACAAATAATAAAGGAGAAAAATTTACTTGAAATACCAAGCTCAAAAAACATACCCTAACAAGTGTTAAATCATTTTGATAAACGTTATACAACATTGGTTTCTGTTCATCTTCCGGAAGATGAGAGCAGTCGAAAAATGGCATATAGACAGACAGCTGAAATAAGGCAAACATGAATGCTTTAATGAGTTATTCTGGTGAATCCAAAGTTTATTCTTACGTTTCCGTTATCAGCAGGAGCTGTGCTGTATTCAAAGAATGGCCCCAAATAACACAGTCTCGCGAAATCATGGCCTTCAAGAACACTGTGTACTTCCGATATGAAATCTGTCCGTGAAACCAGCTGTAATAAGATAACAAATCAAATCATTAAGCTAAAGCTGATAACCTTAGTTCCCAAGAACAACTGATTGGATTAAATCGACCATACTTTTCGATTAGTAGATTCAATAGAACTGATTTGTACCAAAATATGTTAATAAACAGATTCAAAGTGTCCTGTAATATAATTGGAATTCACAGTGACTAAAAGACACTGAAAGATATAAAAGAAAGAAAAAAATCTAACCAAATCTGCAATAGGCCTCTTATTACTTGATGCTCTGACACCTACAAGGAATTTCAGTAAGGAATAGGGATAAACAGCCACTTCCCTGTTGCACTTATTCGACATTTGTTGGCAACTCATTGACTTTTGCGCACAATCCAAAATAGGGTTGAAAATCTAAAACAGTTTTGAAATAAAATCCAATTTCCTATTTCCAGATTCGAATATTGGATACAAGGAACGCTGATGAACACACTCATCAACCAAAGAGGACAAACAACGTAAAATTATTTTCCCAGTTTACTCTTGAAACTGCTGGAAGTACGCTCCTCAATACTTTGGTACTATTTCGTTGTTTCAATAATGATGATGGAGTCAGATTTCGTAGAAGATGCATTGTACTGTAACCTATATTCCTACATAGAGTACGATTTCGTATCTGTATGTTATACATGATTGAACATAGTGGTTTTAGTGTGTAAATAAAGCTGCTGGCTGCATTAAATTTAAATATATGGTGAAGCGAAATTTGAGAATATGATGTGCGACAAAAGAGTGGAATGAACCTCAGCAAGTGCATTATGATCACTATCTTCATCCGTACAATAAGCTATCAAGTTGTAGGCAAAGTTTTCTGGTATTTGCTGCTGATAAAACATTCGAACAAAGACCGCTATCATATCTTCGGCTGTGAATCTGGAACAGATCAGTAATTTTCAAATCATACATTTAAAAGTAACATCCAAATCGATTCAGTTTGTTGAAGTACGAAAATATAGATTCCATATAGATAAGCATAATGTAAGTGAATAAAAACAAATCAGCTTACTTTTCACCATAGAAGCCACGAAGAAGAAAAGATGCTTGAGTAAAAAGTCTTTTTTGAATAACTGGAATGATGGATCGTTCGTAATCCATCAAAAACTGCAATTCAAATGTCATCTTTTAATTCCTAAAGGTTTTTACTTATCCCTTTTCAATTACACCTCCTTAATTATCCCTAATTATATTAAAAATTATCCTTATTCAGTATCCCAAAGGTACCACCCTTAATTATTCCTACAAAAATTCGGTATCTTAAAAGGTATCATATGAGGCTTAGTACTTTAAAGCATATGTCATTTTCGATTAGGTACAATAAATTTCGAGAGAGGATTAGATTAACACAGTGTAAACCTGATTCTGTTCTTCAGTAGCCAACTTTTCATTTGTTGTGATAAGATAATGTAAAGCCATTTCTGGCAAAGTTAGAGGTAAATCAAACAGCGGTTCGCCGAGTTGTTTTCCCAGTATTCTACCTGTATTCATGACTTGCATGCTGCAAATGAATAATCGGTGGTATATTACAGGCAAGTTTTTAACAGTGATTGCACTTCAATCTTTTTGGTCCAGTGAAAAGCTTCCAATACATAAATATGAACAATATAAGTATACTTACTTGCTTTTCTGCATGTTACATAGCGCTCGCATGAAAATATCATCAATTACGACTGATAAGTCAACTGAAAATTTGCGCTTTTCTAAAATAATGTAAGGACTCATGAAAAAAAGAAAAAAAATTGTGTTCACTCACATTTTCATTTTTCGGATGATAAAATCGTCACCATTAGCATATGACTTCTAATGCTATTGAAGGGAAACATATGCTAAATATTACCCTACGCATCTTGTTTTCAAACTCATCACACACATGTAGATCTTCCCATAAGTTTTTCTAGATACAGTTAGCAATACACTACTCATTGAATTGGTAAGCTGTATGTTCTGTCCACCACTTTGTTCCAATTTCCATCTTGTTTCTACCTTCTGAATCTAGTAGTAATGTTATTAACGTACTTCATCACATTCGTAACAAAGAAGCATACCATTACTGCTAAAAGTTGATGCATCAGTTGATTCCAACAAAGATTTCAAACAAATGCTGCTTTCACCGCTGAAAATACGATTGACAAGATTCCGAAGGCGGTCCAGTTTGTATGCTTCTCCATCCTAAAATAGCATGCTAATAAAATATTAAAGTAAGTCTACTACGATTGTTGCTCCATTTATGAGGACGTGATCACCTCCTAAGATCTTTGACTATCTTCGAAATTTTGCGGTACTTGTGTACAATAAGAACGGCTGTTATTAGTCATGCAAAGTATAGAATAAATTAAATAATTTAACCCACAAATCTATCTTCCTTTTCTTCTTGCCCTTCTACTTGCACCTCCCGTTAATTATGACTGTTTCGCCAGTTTGATCCAGAAATCTGCATAATATTCGTTTGTGCAGCACTGGATGAATGGCGAAAAACTTCTCAAACCATATAATGCGGATATAAATCAATATTTAGCATCTATCTGTTATGTGGTATTCTATTTCAAGCTATTTATGCAGTACTGCACAAGAGAATAATTGGCATATACATGTGTACATATATATACATGTATATATATATATATATATGTATATATATATGTACATATATATATATATATATAGCATTATATATATACACATATATATACATAATGTATATACGTATATATACATATATATATATATATATATATATATATATATATATATATATATATATATATATGTATATATGTATATATATATATATATATATATGTATATGTATGTATATATGTATATGCATGTATATATATGCATATGTATATATGTCTCATTTGTTTATTTATTTGCTTGTTTGTTTGTTTATTTATTTGTTCATTCATTTACTAATCCATTCCTTTCACTTGCTTATT